TACCTTAAGCCAATATACAAAGTACTCATTAAAAGGACTCCCTCTGCCTTTTAGATGTCAGGGCCCTATAATCTTACCATTCTAATTCAGATTTAATGGCAAGTACAGAGATATCAGGGAGTTCTAATATATGCAACACTCCATACACTCAGAAGTGGCAGCTCCTTTTTAACTGCTCAAATAAAAACAGAAAAAGTAATTATAGAAGAGAATACCATGTATCATCCATTAAACAGCTAACAAAAGTTTGAGAATTAAAAGTATAACAGAGGGGTCAGTGTTGTGGCATAGCAGGTAAAGCCACAATCTGCAGTGCCAGCATCCCATATGGACGCCAGTTCGAGTCCTGGCTACTCCACTTTTGATCCAGCTCTCTGCTATGGCCTAGGAAAGCAGAAGATGGCCCAAGTCCTTGGGCTCCTGTACCCACGTGGGAGACCCAGAAGAAGCTTCTGGCTTTGAATCAGCCCAGCTCCGGTCACTGTGGCCACTTGGGGAATAAACCAGCAGATGGATGACTTCTCTCTCTCTGTCTAATTGCCTCTCAAATAAATAAATAAATCTTAAAAAAAAAAAAAAAGATAAAGTATAATAGAATTTCATTAAAATACCACTGAGAAAAGATCAACAAGATTGGGATTAAAGTCTAAGAGAAAATACACTGTGATCTAACCAGAAAGATTCCATGCTATACTGATATAATAGACACTTGGCATTTATTTTATATACTTTGACATAGACCCAAACTCCATTTCTACAAAGGCCAACACATCAATAACAGGTCAAGTCAGGAAACTTGAATTCTAAACTCTGCCCTGTTCTTAGGCAAATCAGTTATCTTACTAGCCTTGCCTTCTCACATACAAACTGTAGCCAACAGCCCATGAATTGACATGATGTCCTAGGTCACTTTCATTACTTAAAAACAAAGAATGAAGCCTGATTCCTAACTAAAACAAAACCTACTAAATTGTGTGCTCACTTTGGCAGCACATATACAAAACCTACTAAATTGCATTTCAGATATTTAAAACTGCCTCATTTGCATTTTCTATCCCTAACTGCACATGGAAATAAAGAAAAATGAGTACAAAGAAAATAGCTTGTAACACCATTTTCTAAGCAGATCAAGTCCTAGCCAAGAAGAGCCCTTTTACCCTACCTCCCTGCTGTCCATGGAGCTTCCCACTTCCCTCCAAAGCCCAATTATTACCTCCAGATCAAAATTCCAGCCATAGCACAATAATTGTATTGTCTAGGACTCAATTGTGGAATGACCTTAATGTCTTTTTTTTTATGATTTACTTATTTCTTTGAAAGGCAGACCTACAGAGAAGGAAGGAGAAAGAATGATATTTTCCATTTGTTGATTCACATCCCAAATTACCCTAACAATCCAGACTGGATCAGGCTGCAGCCAAAAACCAACAACTCTATCTGGGTCTCCCACATGTGATAGGGGCCCAAGCACTTGGGCCACCTTCTGCTGCTTTCCTAGGCTCACTAGCAAGGGAGCTAGATCAGAAGTGGAGTAGCCAACTTGAACCAGCACCCATATGGGATGCTGGCATTGCAGGCAGGGCTTAACCTGCTGTGCCACAGCGCTGGTCCCGATGCTAACGTCTTTTATATGAGAATGAGTTTCCCTGTATGCTAGAACATATAAGCCAAACATTTCTGTTACTGTCTAAAACCCATTTTCTTTAAATATTTTTGCTTATTTATTTCAAAGGCAGAGACACAGAGGAAAACAGACAAAGAGGCTGGCGCCACGGCTAATCCTCCACCTGCAGCGCCAGCACCCCGGGTTCTAGTCCCGGTCAGGATGCCAGATTCTGTCCCGGTTGCCCCTCTTCCAGGCCAGCTCTCTGCTATGGCCAGGGAGTGCAGTGGAGGATGGCCCAAGTGATTGGGCCCTGCACCCCATGGGAGACCAGGAGGAAGCACCTGGCTCCTGGCTTCGGATCAGCGCAATGCGCCAGCCGCAGCGGCCATTGGAGGGTGAACCAATGGTAAAGGAAGACCTTTATCTCTGTCTCTCTCTCTCTCACTGTCCACTCTGCCTGTCAAAAAAATAAAAAAAGAAAAAGAAAAAAGAAAAACAGATGAAGAGATTTTCCATATGCTGGTTCACTCTCCAAATGCCTCCAAACAGTCAGGACTGGTCTATAATGAAGATAACCTGGAAGATAACCCAGGTCTCCCAGAAAAGCAGAAAACCAAGCAGCTGAGCCTCCCAGGGTATGCATTAGCAGAAAGCTGGAATTAGAAGTGGACCTGGGACTCGAATCCAGCCACTCCCATAAGGGATGTGGGCTTCCCAGGAAGCATCTTAACTGCTGTGTCAAAGACTTGCCTCTGATGCTAACTTCTCATAGTGAACATTTCACAAGCCTTTTAGAAGGAAGCACAGCAAAAAGCCACCCTATTCAATCCCATATAGTGAATGGACAGTGGCTGGGAGAAAAAAGCAGAAGAGAACGAAGGTAAGGATAGGTCTTCAACTTTGACTATTCAAGGTTTACAGAATCCTTACTTAATCTGTAAGATATATCTGTCTTTCTGGAATTCGTAATGCACTTTTGAAATTCTCCCTCTCTCTGTAACTCTGCCTTTCAAGTTAAAAAAAATCTAGAATGTATTTTCTAACACTTAAGAATAAAGTAACAACAGTAGCTTCTTAGATTTCATGGCTCTACCACAGGGCAGGCAGGCATCAATGCTAAATACTTTGCTCAGTGACTTCTACTTCTCATATAACCACAGCACTTACACATTCTTACCCTATTTTAACGAATGAGGAAACAAGGTTCCAAGTGACTGAATAAAGCTTCCAAAGTTATACCAGGTTATACATATGAGAAGTTGCCAATTGTGAATGTCTACCCAAGTAGTCTCCAGAAACCAACTACAGCCTTTTCCACTACTATGTTGACTCTCCCTGAATTTTTGTGACTATAAACACCTTAAAAAGGAAATGAACAATATTGAAATTGTTAAAGTTAATGGAAGGTGTCAAGAATTAGTGAAAGCTAGAATTAGAAGTACGGAAAAGGACTTTTTTTTTTTTAAAGATTTATTTAGGCCGATGCTGCGGCTCACTTGGCCAATCCTCCACCTGCGGTGCTGGCACCCCGGGTTCTAGTCCCGGTTGGGGCGCCAGATTCTGTCCCGGTTGATCCTCTTCCAGTCCAGCTCTCTGCTGTGGCCCAGGAAGGAAGGGGAGGAGGGCCCAACTGCTTGGGCCTGCACCCGCATGAGAGACCAGGAGGAAGCACCTGGCTCCTGGTTTCAGATCAGCGCAGTGCGCAGGCCACAGCAGCCATCTGGGGGGTGAGCCAACGGAAGGAAGACCTTTCTCTCTGTCTCTGTCTAAATCTGCCTGTCAAAAAAAAAAAAAAAAAAAAAAAAAAAAGATTTATTTATTCAGGGGCTAGTGCAGTGGCGCTACCTGCGAAGCTGGCATCACACAGTTCAAGTCCTGGATGCCCCACTTCAAATCCAGCTCTCTGCTGATGTTCCCAGCAGACGATGGCCCAAATCCATGGGTCCCTGCACCCAAGGAGACCCAGAAGCTCCTGGCTTCGGATAGGCCCAGTTCCAGACATCATGTCCATTTGGGTAGGAAGTGAACTAACAGATGAAATTTCTGTTTCTCCCTTCTGTAATATTTTCAAATAAATAAATAAATAAATCTTTAATCTTTATTCATTTGCAAGGCAGAGGTAGAGAGAGAGCTCCGGCCATTGTGGCCCTTTGGGGAGTAAACCAGAGGATGGAAGACCTCTCTCCCTGTCTCTACCTTTCTCTGTAACTGTCTTTAAAAAAATTTTTTAAAATAAATTTAATATCTTCACTTCTATAAATATTTTAGTTTTTTTTTTTTTTTTGACAGGCAGAGTGAGTGAGTGAGAGAGTGAGAGAGTGAGAGAGTGAGAGAGTGAGAGAGTGAGAGAGAGAGAGAGAGAAAAAGGTCTTCCTTTTGCTCTTGGTTCACCCTCCAATGGCCGCTGTGGCCGGCACACCGCGCTGATCCGAAGCCAGGAGCCAGGTGCTTATCCTGGTCTCCCATGCAGGTGTAGGGCCCAAGTAGGGCCCAAGCAAATCCTCCACTGCACTCCCTGGCCACAGCAGAGAGCTGGCCTGGAAGAGGGGCAACCAGGACAGAATCCGGCGCTCCGACCGGGACTAGAACCTGGTATGCTGGTGCCGCTAGGCGAAGGATTAGCCAACTGAGCCGTGGCGCCGGCCCACTTCTTCTATAAATCTAGCAATCACTCACATATACTGTATATCTATGATTTCAAAGTACAAATTTCTTGGGTTTTCCTTTATCACCAAAGACTCAGATGACACATTTAAACGTAGAAAATTAGTATGAATGGTCACCATAGACTTAAAATTTATCATTTCCAAACCAAAAACAGAGAAAGCATAATTAAATAATAGTTAATAATACTGAAAACTGCTCTCACTCTACAATCCAGGTCCATGTTATTCTGATGTACTAACATGAAAAGGGAAAAAAAGCAACACAGTACATAAAACATGACAAAATCTGGTTGGATATTAAGTTCACGGTCTCTCTTAACAGAATGTAAGCTCCAAGAGGCTGTGGAGGCATCTTTGGCTCACTAGTGTGTCCCAGGTATACACAACACTGCCTAGCCCATAAGGAGTATGCACATATTCGCTGAATGAGTAACATGTTTGGTCAAACTCTTGCATAATTACTTCCTTCTGCTTATCTGAGTAATCCTCCTTGACTCCTGATAGCAAAGTTGCAAGAATACTCACATCATTTTTATAGGATGCCAAATCCTAGGCTACCTGAATTGTCAATGTGAGGTTAAAGAATATATTGGTGTTATTTAGACATTATTCACTTTTCATCCTGTCAATTAAGAAGCAATATGTTAGATAAGCATTTATAATAAAAAGTATTCTAGTTTTTAAAAAAAGTGCTAGCCTGATTAAATTTAATCAAAGTTTAAACTTACCTTTCCACAATCCATTCAGGTCGGATTACTTTTTCCCCTTTTAATTCTTTAATTTTGGCATTAGGAAGATTTGTGGCAATAATGTGTGTTGTTTTGGATCTGGAATAATACACGTGATATTGACCTCCATGCAACATCATTAGCTTTCTCAATTCTTCAGCAGAAGGATCTGTAAAATTAGTATTACAATAAATTCAATTTTATGTGTAAAAAAGTAAAATCCTACACTCAAAAAAATCCCATCAATAGGTCAACTTAAAGAATCACTCATTTACTTTCTCTCTGGCTGTGTTGCCAAAAAACACAGTGGGGAGGCAAATCACAGATGATAAAGCCATGTTGCCTTATAACCTCTTCCCACAGCTCCCAGTCAACCAACACCCAAATACCCACTACTGTGAGAGGTCCAGCAGAGCAAACAGGGACTAAGTAATGAATTGAGCACTAACAACATTTTTATTTTTGACCATAAGCAAGGAACCTGGACACTGGTAACTTACATTTTCAAAGATTAGTAACTGTAAGCACCATTATGGACCACTATACAGAGTCTCCAACTAATTCTTCAACTCCTTCAGAGTAATACAAGAGGACTCAGATAAACAAATTACTCACAGATTTACTGTAGGGCTTATTAACAGACCTTGCCCCTATGAAATTCAATCATTTTAATTTTTATTTAAAAAATATTTAAAAAGGATGAAATATCTCATCTTGTCCAGTTCTCTAATATAAAACTGCTTTATCTCAAAGAATTATTGTGGCTTATGCATTCCCATAAAAAGAAACATCTGCTTCACTAAAGTTACATTATTACCTGCATTACTGGTATCACATTAAGCTAATTATTCTCAAATACTTTGCTGTTTCTTTTAGCTAACATCATAATGAATACTCTAAATCACACCTCTCCTAGCAACAGTGATACCCAGGGGAAGTTTCCACAGGAGGCTAATATATCCACTTCTGTTATTCACCAACAGCTTTTCCTTAAACCAAACCTACAAAGGTTCAAGTATTTAAACAAATTTTTTATTTTGATAACTGTCTAATTAAGTGAATTTTAGCCTATAGAAGGAAAAATAAATAAAACAGCACATTTGAGACAACTTCAAAATATCTGTAGAAAAAATGAAATAAATGTTTATTTTCATGCAAAAAAAATTGAAATTCATCTAGAAAATTGCACAGTCCATTAACTTTTTAAAACCTCTCTTTTATAGATATGCTAAGTCTGTCTAATTCTTGGTAAGTTCTTGCAGCACAGAATTAGTAAGACTTTGCAGATTATACATACTGTCCAACAGAAATATAATGTAAATGGCAATGCAAGCTATGTACATAATTTTTTTAATTTTCTGGTAGCCTCATTAAAAATAGTGAAACACAAAATGAAATTCCTTTTAGTAATATTTTGCTTAGTCAATAGATTAAAAATACTTCCTATAATCAATATTTAAAAATTGAGATATTTTTTCTTTTGTTCATATTAAGTCTCCAGAATCCAGTGTTATTTTATATTTACAGTACACCTCAATTCAGACTAGCCACATTTCAAGTACTTAATACATGTAACTTACATGTTACCACAGCAGATAAGGTAAGCATACTTTTAAAGAAAATTCAAAATTCATAGTGAAAGGTGTTCAGGGATGACAGATCACAATATGTAAACTATAACATCACAACAATTCAATGTAAAACAACTCAATGTAAAATGGAAGATTTTCAGGAGAAGGATCACAAACACTAAACTATAACATCACAATGAATTCAAGGTCAAATTTTGCAAATTGTGGAAATTAAACAGCTAGCCAATTAGGAATCTATAGCATATTTTCTTTTTAAAAGAATCCAGCTGACCTTATTACAGAAGAAAGCACCAAATAAAAGGTTCAATTAAAACAGACTAATATGGACATCAAATCCAGTAAAATGTTCAGCACTTAAGGTCAGTGGTGCAGAGTACTAGGTTAAGCCTCTGCCTGTGGTGCCGGCATCCCATATTAGTGCCAGTTCGAGTCCTGGCTGCCCCACTTCTATCCAGCTCCCTGCTAATGGCCTGGAAAAGCAATGGAAGATGACGCAAGTGCTTGGACCCCGGCACTCACATGGGAGACCCAGAATAAGCTCCTGGCTCCAGATCAGCCTAGCTCTGACCATTTGGGAAGTGAATCAGTGGATGGAAAACCTTTCTGTCTCTCCCTGCCTCAGTCTGTAACTCTACCTCTCAAATAAATAAATAAAATCTTAAAAAAAAAAAAAAAAAAATGTGGTGTAAGAGAAGTCTTTGGTTCTAGTTTGGTTCTGTCACAATCACCAAGATAACATTAACAAGTTTTCTACTACTTGTGCTTTTAATGACCGAAGTCAGATGAAATAAATGAAGCAAAAAACCTTGACCTCTGAGGTTCTTTCCAGACCTAAAATATTATCAATCTACTCAGCTTCCAAACAAATTCTCTACTCACCATTATTTAAAATCCATTGCAAGGAGAGTGCATCATATCAAACACCATCACAAAAATCAGAATTAGTATAGCAAGATCAATTCTACCACCCTTCAGTAAGTAAGAACACTGTGATGATCTGCTAAAATATACCAACATTTACAATGCTTTCCAGAGTCCTGATTTATTTTACTTTATACTCTACAACAGAAGTTCTGTATCCAGCACTGCTGTATGCTAACAGTAACTGTGACCAGAAAGATTTAAAGAGGGTCTTCAAACTTTTCCACAAGCAGTGTTATTCAACACCACTATGATGTGCACATATCCCAAACTACCTACAATGACTCCCAAACTGTCCACTTACAAAGATCTAATGTACATAAAGAAAGCTGTGCCGAACCTCTTTAATTGCTGCTTCACCAATGAGGTTAGGCAGCAGTGGTTAGAAGTATGATACATGAGCAATGCTCAGAAAAATCTCCTCGACAACAAAGTAATTTGGCAGTCACACAGAATTTTGTGATTTAAGAAAATAGTTTTGTTTTTTGGTTTTTTTTGACAGGCAGAGTGGACAGTGAGAGAGAGAGAGACAGAGAGAAAGGTCTTCCTTTGCCGTTGGTTCACCCTCCAATGGCCGCCGAGGCCAGCGCGCTGCTGCCTGCGCACCACGCTGATCTGATGGCAGGAGCCAGGTGCTTCTCCTGGTCTCCCCTGGGGTGCAGGGCCCAAGCACCTGGGCCATCCTCCACTGCACTCCCTGGCCACAGCTGAGAGCTGGCCTGGAAGAGGGGCAACCGGGACAGAATCTGGCGCCCCGACCGGGACTAGAACCCAGTGTGCCGGCGCAGCAAGGCGGAGGAGAAAATAGTTTTCTAAAAAGATACAACATATAAAACACATCCTGATATAGAGTAAGTGTTCTCAATAAATGTTTGCTAAACAAAATAGCAAAGTACTATTTTCTTTAAAGATTTATTTATTCATTTGAAAAGCCGAGAGAGAAACAGAGAGAGAGAGAGAGAGAAAGAGTCTTCCATCCACTGACTCATTCCCTATACAGCCACGTGGCCTGGGCTAGGCCAAGTAGAAGTCAGGAGCTCCATCTGGCTCTCCCATGTGGATGCAGAGGCCAAAGGACCCTCTTTCACTGCTTTAGGTGCATTAGCGGGGAGCTGATTGGAAGTTTAGCAGCTGGGACTGGAACCAGCACCCATTTGCGATGCAAGCATCACCAGCAGCATAACCGGCTGTACCACAATGCCAGCTCCAAAGGTACATTTTTATACATGTTAGTAATAAAAACTGAAAATCTTTTTATTTCCTGTAACTTGTAGATACCTATGTCCATTCTATTAATACCAGCTATGTCAATTTTATTAGAAACATCTACCTTTTCATATAGCAAAATAAAACTGCTATTAATTGCTTTAGAACTGTAACTACTCAACAACTGAAGAAAGACAACATTAACTTAGAACCATTCCAGTCAGGTATTTTACATACCTTATCTCATTAATCCTCACCACTGGTATTTCCAATACTGGAATTCAATAGTACAGTTTCAGTTCAAAGTTCTCTGTGAGAATCCTTAATGTCTACACTGATCCAGTAAAAAGAAAAAAAAAAAAAAAAAAAACACAACACACATACAACCCACCCCAACCATTCACGGGGATAGCCATTTTGTAATTCAGCACTGCCAAGTGATTTCATGTGCAGGTCAATTACAAAGGTGCTGCTGCTGTTGTATAAAGTGCTTGTCTGTCATAGAGTAGCAGGAAAAAAAGGACAGAAACTAGAGGTATAAATGATGCACTTTCATCAAGTGAAGACCAAAAGATGTCATGGTCATTGTTCCAATGTAGATTCTATGATGGTAGTAGTCAGAAATGAAGAGCAGTGGGAAAATACACCATTTGAAACACCACATCAGGGGCTGGCGCCGTGGCTCACTGGGTTAATCCTCCGCCTGCAGCACCAGCATCCCATATGGGCACCAGGCTCTAGTCCCAGTTGCTCCTCTTCCAGTCCAGCTCTCTGCTGTGGCCTGGAAAGGCAGTGGAGGATGGCCCAAGTGCTTGGGTGCCTGCATCTGCATGGGACACCAGGGGGAGGCACCTGGCTTCGGATCGGCATAGTTCCGGCCGTGGCGGCCATTTGGGGAGTGAACCAACGGAAAAGGAAGACCTTTCTCTCTCTCTATTTGTAACTCTACCTGTCAAAAAAAATAAATCTTAAAAAAAAAAAAAAAAGAAAAGAAAAGAAAAAGAAAAACCACATCTGCTGGACTGAATAAAGATTCAAAGGATTCACTGGATTTGCACAAGAATGAAGTTGGCGTCCAGCGCTGTGGTATAGCCATTAAAGCTGCCCGCCTGCAGTGCTGGCGCCTCATATGGGTGCTGGTTCAAGTCCCAGCTGCTCCACTTCTGATCCAGCTCTCTGCTATGGCCTGTGAAAACAGTAGAAGATGCCAAGTCCTTGGACCCCTGCACCCACATGGGAGACCTAGAAAAGCTCCTGCTCTTGGCTTTGGATCGGCCCATTGTGGCCATTTGGGGAGTGAACCAGCAGATGGAAGATCTCGCTCTCTCTCTCTCTCTCTGCTTCTGCAACTCCACCTTTCAAGTAAACAGATTTTTTTTTTAAAGAATTAAATTAGACCTTCTCTTCCACTAGTGACAAAAATTAACAAGAAAGGGATCAAAGACCTAAA